TATTATAATTAAATATTTACCATTAACTACGTATTTAGAATGCTTAATACTATACATGGCCTGATAGTAAACATATAAGTATGAATATGTTATAACCAAGAACTCTATTTCAAATTATGTTCAAATGATTTTTCTACCATAATTTCTATGTTTCGAAATTGATATACTACCGAAAAACTTGAAAATTAATTGCAAGCATTTTAAATAAATCACTTGATTTTCCACTTTAAACATAACATTTGATGAATATTTTAAAATTATAAAATATATTATACACTTATTAATTATTATCGGGTATTCTCTGTCTATTACAGAATATCGTAAGTTGCTGTAATTTTAATAATTATTTAATTTAAAACGATTTATAATTTGATTTTAATATATGTTAAAGTTTAATATGTTGTTTATATTATATCCAACATGACTTAAATAAGTATTGTGATTTTTTTTTTTAAATATCTGCATTCAATTTTCAGGGCTTATGAATTTAAAATTCGGTATGTAAGTTATAATCTACTATAATATAAAATATAAAAATATAAAACTTTATAATTTTTTTTTTTATATCATAACTTTATAATATAAAACTACGTATTTATAATGTAGTTCTTTTTTATTTGTTGTAATTAACTAATAAATTATGAATAACCTAATTTTAAATTGTTTATATCAATATAATACTTATATCTTAAACCTAAATTTAAATCATGCGTTTGCTTGACTTCCATCGTTTGATCATTGTAAAATTCTACGCAATTAAGTGTTTTGTAGGAGGTCATATTAGGTCATCCATATAATATATTTCTTGGTAGATTGTGAATCATAAGGTAGATTTATATAATATAACATATATATAATACCTGTATTATGATTCGTAAAATAATATATGTTTATTATCTTTCTAGGTCTTCCAGAAAATTTAGATGGTAACTGAATATTGTGTTTTTTTTTTAAAATTTTAATTCTGAAATTAAATTAATGTGATTTGTGTCTTATAACTTTTGTAAAGATTACCATCTTCAAATCTTTGCTTACTTGATGTGTACTACTGTAGTTATGAATCCATTCAGTTAGGCTATTCAACTTATTTAACAATATTTTGACTCTGGATTCAAGAACTATAAAAAATTATGTTTCGTTTGGTTTCAAACAAATCAATTAACTTTATATTTTAAAAGCTTTTATATGTTTTAATCAAACAGTATCTAAGATATTACGGTAGATCAACTAATAATATCCCATAAATAACAAATAATTATTTTTTTCTTTTTTAGGGATCATTTATAGTACGTGTAATATATTCAAATTAAATTATATGTAAAATGTATTTTTAGCATGAGTTTAATTTTTCAACAATATTAAAAAAATGTATTTTATTAATATTAGTCGTTTAGTGTACTTATCTATGATTTAATTTAGGTTTTTAAATTTATTAAAAACTAATATAAAATATAATTTATAATATGTAATAGTAGAGTTTATAGTTTAATATAATACAATACAGCTTAATATCGGTATGATTAATTTTACAATCTAATATTCAACAATGTGAGCAAATGTATATTTTTTTTGTGACTATAGAGATAACAAAATAACGCTATTCGTACATTTATACCGAATATAATTTACGGATCAAGCCGTTTTCACCAGATTTTTCTTTAACGATCCCCAATAATCATCTAATAAATCCCAATTGTTACCAGGATCTGCTGTGAACGTAGCTGTTTCAATCATTTATAATGATGGATAATGTAACGGAAAATAAGTTATAGTAAAACAATAGACTTTATACTCATAGACGGGGCATTCAATGGGATGCGGGACGTCCATGAACTTGGCCCAACGACATGGACATATCAACATGAAAATTATGCCAATATTTTGCGAGTAATTTGCGAGAATTTGCGAGTATACTTCTAGAATTTGCGAGTAATATTTACTCAAGTTACTTGAGAGTGAGCCAACTTCATTTAGCCCACCCACTTCACCCGATTAGGTCGAGATTGGTGTCAAAAGCTTGGTTTTGTTTTGCGAGAATTCGTGAGCTCAGTCTCCGAATTTGCGAGTCCCTCAAAGCTCAGATGTGAGCTTTCAAAGTTCGGAAGTTGGTTGGACCACCAACTTCATCCGACAAGGTCGAGCTTGGTGTCAAAAGTTTGGTTTTAATTTGCAAGAATTTGCGAGCTTGGTCCCCGAATTCCGCGAGTCCCTCAAAGCTCAGATGTGAGCTTTCAAAGTTCTGGAGTTGGCTCAGCCACTTCACCCGATTAGGTGGAGATTGGTGTTAAACGCTTGGTTGTAATTCACGAGAATTTGCAATAAGAAATTATTATTCATTATAAGAATTATAAAGAATAATTAATTATTATTATTATTATTATTATTAATTATTAATTTTTCTTACTTTATTGCATTTAAATAATTGGTGAGCCTGGAGTGTATAATTTTTTCAAATATTTTTGAAACTGATGAAGTGATGACAGTAAACTAATGGGTCTTATCTTATCTTATCTTTACCTGGTTTTTTGATCATGATGATTGTGGCCAGTTTCCATTCTTTTGGAAAATAACCAATTTTTATTAGGGAATTTAATAATATGGATAAATATGTTATTGCTTTCCTAGGAATATTTTTTAGAATATCATAGTGATTGAATCGTGACCGGTGATTTTCTTTTTGGTAATTTTTTGATTATGTCTAAGATTTCGTTTGGGCACGAGTAAGGTAAAATATTTTGTAGAAAAATATTGGGCTCACAAAGTTTTTGTTTGACTAGATTGTCTGTAGAGTTTTCAAGTGCAGAGTTGTTTAATGTGAAAATATTTTCAAGAGTGTGGGCAAACAGTTCACATTTTTCCGAGTCAGTATTTGGGTAAGTACCACTCGCTTTTAAAGRGGGGATTTCATTTGAGTTTGGTTTAATTAATCTTTTGGTCGCCATCCATAGGTTTGAGTCTGTTGGGTGTATAGCAGATAAGTATTTTTGATAACTGTTAATTGTGTGTTCCTCTAGTTCGCTTTTAACCTCTTTCGTTAAGTAATTAAATTTTTTCGATCAAGTAGTTTTCTGTCTGTTTTAATCGCTAGTGCCTTCTGGTTTGGTGTTTTGATTTGATTAATTTTAAAATGTTGAGGGGAAGTTGATTAAGACTATAATTTATTACCGTATTTTTTTTTTTTTGAGCATTTTTCAGCCGCTTGGCATATGATTTCACGTAAATGTATTACTGCAGTGTCTGCGCTGTTAGTATTTAGTATATTTTTAGGGATAATTAGATTTGTTGTGATGTGTTGCTTGAATTTTTGCCAATCTGCTTTACCAGTGATAAGTTTGCGGTTAGGAGTTGAGAACGATAAGGACGCATCTAATGTAATTTTTAAAGGTAAATGGTCCGAGTCGAGTTCGAAAGTGGTTCTTGGTGAATGGAAAAACGGATTGATTTTAGCATAATTACATCTAAAATATCAGGATTTCTATTTTGATCATATGGATAGTATGTGATTGTGCCTGGAGCTGAAATATCGCAGGATTGCTTGCAAGGTATTTATAAAGTTTACGTCCATTTACGTTTATGGATTTGCAATTGTATGCTTACAATTTAGGTCACCTACTAAAATAATATTTTGATAGCTATTTAATATTTWTTCAAAGTCGTTTATATACATTTGAAAACTAGGTGATTGATAAGCACTAATTATTGGTGTAACTGATTGGTTTATTGTAATAGATATTTCAACTGCTTCGAGAGTTTGCATACCAGGTAGATATGTTTGTTGATGTTTTATTTTGGTTTTGATTATTATAGCAACACCACCATAAGGTCGAACCGATAGCCTATCTTTACGATAGGTAGTATAACTATTGAATTTAATTTTATCGCTAGCAATTAGATGCGTTTCACTCACACATGTAATATCAACATTGTGTGCCGATAAGAACGCTGCAAATGTGTTTCAATTTTTCTTGATTCCATTAGCATTCCAATTTATGATAACTAGTTTAAGAATTATTTATAATATTAGACGACATTTATATTTATTTAATAGAGCAGGTAGATTTTCGATGACTTTTTTAATAATTTGTGAGACGAGTGCGCTAATTAAGGTCATAAGTGACTTAATAAGTTCGTTGGTGATATTTGAGTTCTTCATCTTGTTGAATATTGATTTTTTTTAAAAAAAGGTAAAAGCCTAAAGGGTCGAAAATTCAGTTTAGATCCGACAACAGCAATCTTTTTGTACTCCTTGCTCTTGACGGATCATGTTGTACAAAAAATCGAAATTCATCTGCTTCTGGTTTCCAACTGAGACCAAGCGATTTAACAATATCCTCGGCTCTGATCTGTAAAGCGAATAATGGATCGTTGCTGGATTTGCCTATGTGCCTTAGAAGTTCGGACGAGTTCGAGCACCATTTTCTTAACGGTAGATTTGCTGAAGCGAGAATGGCACTTATCCGCTGTTGGAGCCGGAAGCACTCGTCAATAGTGTCCGCTCCGGACATCAGGTCATCCATATAAAAGTCACGCTGTATTATTACAGATGCTTCTGGATTAGTATGTTTTGAACTCTCGGCCAGCGACACGAGGCAGTTTGTGGCCATGAAGGAGGCGGGTGTGGTCCCATAAGTCACAGTCGTAAGTCGATAGGTTTCCAATGCTTCATCTGGTGCTAGTCTCCAAAGTACCCTCTGGAAGTCTCGATCACTTGGGTCTATCTTAATTTGTCGGAACATTTTCTCAACGTCGGCAGTTATTACGAACTGATACTTGCGAAAACGCATCAAAATTGCACATAAGTCGTCCTGCACGCTTGGGCCACACATAAGTACATCATTTAAGGAACGGCTTGATGAACTCTTAGCTGAGGCGTCAAAAACGACACGCAATTTCGTCGTGAGGCTCGAAAGCTTCAGTACTGGGTGATGCGGCAGATAGAATACATCTCTGGAGACGTTCGATTCTTCACGGAATCTCTCCATATGCCCCATATCTAAATATTCCTTCATGAATCGTACATATTGCAGTTTTAACTTCTCGTCTCTCTGTAATCTTCGCTCGACACTTAAAAATCTAGTCCTGGCCATTTCTAATGTGCTTCCAAGCTCATGCACCTCTGACTTAAATGGAAGACGCAATATAAATCTACCAGTCTCGTCACGCTTGGCTGTTTCCTTGAAGTGCTGCAATACCTTGTTTTCCTCTAAGGTTCTCTTATTAGCTTTAGACTCGAGTCCATAACCAGTTGACTGACAGCTGCACAATGACCTAAACTCCTCGTCAAAAATTTCGCCGGCAGTCTTCATCGACAGTAAGTAAGTGGTGTTGACTTCACCTGTCACCACCCACCCAAACCTTGTATCCTGGAGATAAGCTGTCCTTACCTGGAGCTGAACTCTGCTTGGTTCGAGTAACTCGAAGAAGATGCCCCCTCCAACTAAGAGATCGACTGTTCCAGTGCGGTCAAAAAAGGGATCAGCCATTGCGGAACTAGTTCTTCTGGAATATTCCATCCAGCTGGTGGTCTTGGACAAAAGGGAAGATCATCTATAATCGTTGGTAACACGTGGCAGACTAACTCAGCTTCAAATGGTTTCACTCGGGACCTTGCCTTGAGCGTGATACTAGAGATTGACTGGATCTGGCGTGCTCCAATACCACTCACAGGCAATATTGTTTTCCGACGAGGAAGCTGCAACTGACTTGCAAATTTTGACGATACAAAGTTAATTTGCGATCCACTGTCTAGCAGAACTCGACATTTTGACATTTTCTAAGCTCACCATAGCTGTCGGCAACAAGAACAGATGCTGTGGCTAGAAAAACATGGCCACCTTTACCTTGGGAAGATAACACCTTCGGAAGCTGTTGGCTCGACTCAGCTACGACGCTGTCATTGTCACCTTCGATAGTAAGCGTTCTGTAAGCGCTCCCTGTTGACCTTCGAAATGCAACATCATATTGTGCTTTTTGCTACATTTCTTACACGAGTAGATGGATTTACAACTGTCAGCATTGTGAAATGGAGCAAGGCGATTGAAGCATAATCTTTCGGATCTCACAAAATCCAGTCGCGCAGGTGTTTTGAGAGCCTTGAAGGTTTCACAAGCAAACAATTTGTGATCCTCCATACAATAGGGACAAGGTGTTTGTGGATTTTTGCTGGCGCTCAGCAGTGTTTTTCTTACAATGCTTGATTGCCCATTTCCCCTGGTGTTTGATACTCTATTTTTGGAGCAATGTGTTGGCTTGTCCGTGCCTTTCATATGCGCTTCTGTACTCTGCAAGACGATGCATCGACCTAATAAAAACTCCTTTAACTGTTCATATTTTGGTAAATCTGTGTTTCTTTGGTGTAGTTGCCACCCATGAGCAGTATTCTTGTCTAGTTTTTCTATGATAATGGTAATTAGCCACGCATCCCAGTGCTCCACTGGTTGCCCTATTGATCGCAATGCTGCTACGTGTGCACATACGCGAGAGTATAAACCTTGTAGTGAAGTTGCCGATGCCTCTTCTGCTCTTGGTGATTCCAAAATTGACCTGATGTGTGATTGTATAATCAGACCTTTGTTATCATAACGCTGTTTCGACCTTTGAATCACGGCTTCATAGTTAGCATCAGTAATCGGTATTGATTTGACTAAATCTAACGCTTGGTTGGTTAGACTCGACCTTAAATAATAAAACTTTTGCGCAGCTGATAGTGAATCGTCGTGGTGAACCATTGCCTTAAAAACATCATGGAATGATGGCCAATCTTGAATGTTGCCGTTGAACTTGGGTAATGGTATAGGAGCTAGCTGCGCTCGATTGCTAATTGAGGTGTTTCCAAATGACACGTTTTGTCCTGTCGTACTAGTTGGTCTTTCTGCATTTATTAGTTCTTGTATACGGGATCTTATGTTATAATAATCAGCCTCAAACCCTTCTCGCTCTTGTTCAGCGCCTTCCATATCATCTACTGCGATTAATTCAATTTCACATTGAATAGAATCGAACTTTCGATTTATCTGCGGAAGCTCTTCTTGCCGAAAATCGAGAAGTGAAATTGCATGTTCGACGGGATCAAATTTGTTTACAAATGTTATTATTCGCTTTAACGATGCCTTTATGACGCCCCGCTTTCTTTTGAGGTCCGTTAGCATTTTCTGCGACGATTCGTCGAGTACCATAATTGCAATGAAGACAGATTCTAATAATTTATTAGAAGGCTAAATATATATATAATAAATAAAGTTTAAATATACGCATACAACAAAATAAATATGATCTAGTATCAAAATAATGCGATATCAAATTAAAACGCAAATTGCTATATACGATAAATTTATAATAATATTTATAATTTATAATTCGCAATAAAAGATAATAGATTAAAGAATTGAAATATTAATCACTAAGTATGCAGTTACGCAACTATAAAATATACCAATTAAAAATACCACAGAAATATAAGATTTAAAAATATATAAAATATACGTAATAAAATAAGATATTTATCACGTCGAGGTCATCAAATGTACGKGCCGTGAGCGTAAGATACCTAACTACTCCGTGCGCAGCACCCACACACCGACCGACCTGTGTAAAATGTGTATATGTGTATATAGCACTCAACAGGAGGTGGACAGGGTCGCCGAGCAAAACCTGTGAGTGCTAGTATGTGGGTGGTGTGTATGCGTGTATTTGTTTGTGTGCGTATACTTAAAATTAAAATAAAAGGTAACACGGTTTTTGGTAACAATAGGTTACTGTATAATACAAATAATTCAAATGACACAAAATAAAATATAACTCACAGCAACCGCAAAATATATAAAAGTATAATAAATTTATGATAAATAGTATTTAAATAACAATAAAAAACTCACAATTTGTGTAGCACTGCTGGCCAGCCGCTACCTATACAGCTATATATAATTAAACACACACAACAAAAGGGAATAATATAAAAATCAAATAAATAATTGGGACGATTAGCGTCTTAACAAAATATAATTGATACGGCGATTCTTGCGCGAACAAATATAATAATAAAATTAGTGACGATTTGCGCCTGTGACAACAAAATATATTTGTGGCGATTCGCGCCTGTACAATAATAATATGGATTAGCCCGTGGCGATTCGCGCCTACGATAATAATATGGATTAACCCGTGGCGATTCGCGCCTACGTAAAAATAATAATATGGTCCGCGTTGACAATGCGTAACGATAGTGCGAGCGAGACTGGTGAAAAACGGCGGCCGTGCTAAATTGTGCACCGGTGGTCCGGCGGCGGAGACGATATGGTATCGTTGCATAATAATATTATATTATATAATTCACATTACAATTAACAATGATAATCAATAATAAAAATAAATCAGTATGTTATGTGTATGTGTGTGTGGATCGGTGGCGGCGTCGGCGTGCTATTTATATTTCGGGCCTCAACAACTAGTATTAAAGTCTATTGATAAATTCTCAGACGATGCATATAGGTACCAGAATATTACGATATGATAAATTTAACTACTGAAACAAACCTTGTTGTGTTTTTGGGCATGCGCAGAAGATAATCCCACAAATGTGCAATGCACCCTATTTTTTCCGCGAGAACTACCATCATGCTCTGTCTATGAGTAAAACTAGTATCTACCTTCATAATTGTCAAGGTTAGGTTAGGTATAGCCCAACAACATAATTTGATATGTTGGATTAAATAATGGTGACTAAATACATGCTTATGGCATATTAAATATTGGAGTAGCTAAATTAAGAATAGGTAAAATAAGTACAATTAAATTACATTAAAAAAAGTTACCTTGCTATGTTAAAAAACAATACTGTCTAGTTTGTGGATGAAATATAGAAGCATATTTTTTTCTATTTTTCTATTGTTCATTAGCATCTTATTTAAACTTGAATATTAAGAAAGTATACGCAGCTTATTACAATAAGCTCTGTTGGATTCAAATAAATATGGAGATTTAATTAAAATGTTTCATAAATGATGAATAAATTGTTAAATTTTTTGAATAAATTAAAGTCTTAGTAGTTACTGATGTATATGATGTAGAATTGGAAATTGTCACAATTTTTATTATTACAGATCTAGGAAATGAATATCTTAGGTTTTTAAAAAGTATGTACGATTTTTGAAATAATAATCTGGTGTTAGAATGATGTTTTAATTTTTCTTATACACTACAATATATACCCGATAATAAATAAATAAGTATGGGAGTGTTGTGGCCGGGCGGATTAAGGCGTCGGTTGCGATGCGCCCCGTCACCGATTCGAATCCCGGTCATGGGCGTCATCGCTTTCCAGGCAGTTCACCCTGTCTGAAAAAAGAGGCCGCTCTCCCCAAACCGGGCATGGCAGAACCGAGATGCCAGTCACCGTGCCTGATTATCGATCAACGTAACCCACCTCGATCGCTTTTGAGAGCCGACCGTTCACAATTCCGACTCACGGCAGCAGTCGCTATTGAAAACTTGATTCTGCCTGTGATCGAACCCGTTCCCTTAACTGTTAATCCCTCGGATTATATTTTAACTTACTTTGTAAATAGGACAGTGCCTTGGTACCGTTGTGGAATTACGCCGAACGCTACAGTTCACCTTCCGGCCTGACTGTCGGTCTAGTGTACTCACCACCCATTGTACATAAATGAAAACGTCTACAGAGATAAACATATGAAATGATTACCAGAAAGTCAATATTATCATTTCAAAATACGAAACAGGCTTAAGAGCAACTGTTTCTTAGTATAAACGAAAATTCATTACATTTTTAGAGGAGTTGACAATTTTAGAAAAGAGCTATGTGTATATTTATACCTACAAAGTTTTCCGTTATGAAAATAATAGGTGGTGATACATTAAATTTTTAGAAAAGCTAAAATAGTTAACATGTTTTCAATTTTCCGAGTTCCTAAAAAAAAAAAGCTGTTAGTTATAATCTATTATAATTAAATATTAACCTTAAGCTACGAGTTTGTAATGTTTAATTCTATGTATGACCGGATAGTAGAATATGTTGTAGCTATGAACTCTATTTTAAATTAAGTTCAAATGATTTTTCTACCCTAATTATTAAGTTTTGAAATTTATATTCTACCGAAAAACTTGAAATTCCATTGGTATAAATGTAATAATGCATGAAATGCCTACAAAATTAAGGAGACCTCCTTATTATAAAGATCACAAACATCGAAAAATAAGTAGGTACCTACAGAATATCAGTAGCAAATTATTATTAATATTATTATTGGAATCAGGGCTGGCCCAAAGTATTTTGACGCCCCGGGAAATTTTTTGAAAGGCGTTCTTAATCAAAGGCTCCATAATACATTTAATGCTTTTTATACTTACCTACATATTTTGTTTAGAATTCTTATACTTATAGATAGGTGAAGGATTGCAAAACTTATTTGGATACAATTTACGTATCGGCTGTAACACATACTTTTTTGGTTTTCCCGAGTTAATGAATATAATATATTATCATTGTATATTATTTTTTAATTATGGAGTAAAATCTATAAAAAAAAATATATAACAGAATATTCTGTCATAGATCATTTAGTTATTTAGCTATATTATTGTCAATGTGAATAAATATTACGATTAAATTTATAAAATATTCATATATTTAATGCACCCCTAAAAAAGTAGTTTCAAATTATTTTTCGAAATATTCTACCGAATAACTTGAAAATTCATTGCAAACATTTCAAATAAATCACTTTATTTTCCACTATAATCATAACATTTTATGAATAATGTTATAATTATAAAATATATTATACACTTATTTATTATTATCGGGTGTTTTCTGTCTATTATAGGATTACGTAAGTTGATTTAATTTTAAATAATTATTTAATTTTACACGATTTATATTAATATGCATCTTAAATATATTTAAAGTTTAATTTTATGTTTATATTATATCCAACATGATTGAAATAAATAGTGTAATTTTATTTTTTTTTGTCTGCATTCAATTTTCCGAGTTTCTAAAAAAAAAAGCTGTTGGCTATAATCTATTATAATTAAATATAAACCTTAATCTACACGTTTGTAATGTTTAATTCTATGCATGGCCTGAAAGTAGACATATAAGTATGAATATGTTATAACTATGAACTCAATTTCAAATTAAGTTCAAATGATTTTTCTACCCTAATTATTATTATTTTGAAATTTATATTCTACCGAAAATCTTGAAAATTCATTGCAAACATTTCAAATAAATCACTTTATTTCCCACTATAATCATAACATTTGATGAATAATGTTATAATTATAAAATATATTAAAATATATTACACTTATTAATTATTATCGGGAATTCTCTGTCTATGATAGAGGAAAGTAAGTTGATTTAATTTAAAATAATTATTCAATTTTATACGTTTTATAATTTGCATTTTAAATATGTTAAAGTTTAATCTTATTGTGCGGGTTGAACGGCTGCACATGTAACGCCGGCACGGCGGGTACGTACGACGTGTATGTGTGTGTGTGCACGTGTATATGGCCACGGTTTAAGATAGAATGGTTAAGCGACGAGGTCTGATATTTCGGCGGTAGAGTCTAAAAAACTCACTGCCCCGTGGCGCGATCTCGGATCTACTAAATTACCAGATACTCTTGATATTCTTTAAATTTATTAAATAATAATAATAATTAATACTATATTATAATAATTAATTATTATTATATAGTACCTACTTCATAATACTTAATGATTGAAAACGTAGAAGAACTTTGCAATGTAATTTATTTTAACTAATGTCAATTTTATATTGGCATTTAATAGCTTTCCAATCTATACCAGCAGTGGTGGCTCGTCAAAGGAGGCAAGTGAGGCTCAGCCTCACCTAAGTATTATAAAGAAAAAGGAGRGAATAATTCTATAATTATTGTTATTTCCAATCGACTTCAAGAATATTAAAATACTCAATAATATATTATACATTTTATACATTTTAAAATACAAAATCTTTTTGTTATTAATGTTATTATATATTATTATACTGACAAAAAAAATTTATTTTATCGTTTATAATATTATTTTATTATGATAGTACGTCATACTTCGTCACTGTTATCAAAAATCACGACCAATATATTCGTTGAACGATAGAACGCACTCGACGAAAGCCGAATAGTGCCG